TTCTTATCATGTTAAATTTCACACAGTTCTTTCTCAATGTGACTGGTTTCTCTAATAGGTTTCATGTCCTTGTACTTTAAAAAAGTCATCTTGCCTATTTCATCCCAGTGCCTAAAACAGTGTCTGGCACATGATAGGTGCTCAATAATTGCCAAATGTTGAATAGATGAACAAATTCATATCTCAAATAGCAAAAGAGTATAACTACAAAGCCTCAGAGGAGGGTTTCTCTTACTTCATTTAATAAGAATTATAGGATTCCCTCTCCTGAGTCTTCTCTGTACAATCTACCAACCTTCTCTGTTGCTGTTCTCCTGTTGGTTGCTCTCATATTTCTTCTCCCTGTGATTCTTCATGTCAAAGGCTTTCTAGGACCATTAATTTTTCTTTACCATGTTTCTGCCAGAAAATCACTGCATTTTGTCATTGTGCAGACAATTACGGCACTCATGTTTTATTTTAGAAAAAAAAAAAGCTCTGTCAGCAACCAATTCTATTGATGGCAAACATTTTTAAGTCAAAAAGTTCTTAGTGAAGCACAGATTGTATGTCCAGGACAAAACTGTCTGCTGGAGTCAAAGTCATAATTTCTTTTATAAATGAAATGTAAATGCCATAGTAATTTAAAATCTATCATCATCCATCTTTTTGAAAATTACATGAACAAGCTCTCCTTTAGCAGCTGGGAACTCGATATCATGTCTCTTTTCCTTGAATTCATATTTCCATCTCACTTCCTCCACATAAGCTTATCCCAACATAATATATTTTAGTGTTTCAAAATATTTTAAATTGATCACCCTATCATACTCCCCTATAACAAAAAAAGTAAATTTTAAAATTTCCAAGAACATAAGTTCTAATACTGTGTCCTCATTAAATTACTAGAACACTTAACATATAACAAATTATAATTACAATAAAATATAAAAAGGATTTCTTTTTGAGACAGAGTCTCGCTCTGTCACCCAGGCTGGAGTACAGTGGTGCAATCTCAGTTCACTGCGGCCTCTGCCTCCTGAGTTCAAGCAATTCTCGTGCCTCAGCCTCCCCAGGTGGCTGGGAACTACAGGTGGGAGCCACCATGTCTGGATAATTTTTGTATTTTAGTAGAAACAGAGTTTCGCCATGTTGGCCAGGCTGGTCTTGAACTCCTGACCTTAGGTGATTGGCCCATCTCAGCCTCCCAAAGTGCTGGGATTACAGGCATGAGCCACTGTGCCTGGCAAATAAAATATAAAAAGCTTTTATTGGAAATGCATGTCATAAAAAAAATGGACAGGACCTTCTGCCCCCTCCCTCATGAGGCCATGTACCCAAAAATAAATATTACTTATTGCTAGAAACAAACAGAATTCAGGTTAATTCTATTTTTATATGTTGTATTCTTCCACTCCAAACATTTGGGAGTATAACGATTTCTGGTTATAGCAATAATCATTTGTGTGAACTCCTAAGTTATAGACCAAAAATCACATAGGGGTATGCTTCAAAAATTATTTTTAATGATCAGCTGATAACTCAATTTGGTCCTTCCACAATTATCTTTTAAAGCAACTGAAACTCACCAATTTTGCAAGAGAGTTAACTACTCAGTCATTAGAGTCATTCACTTTTTAAACACCACTATCAAGATTTAGGTCAGATAAGGTATGCCCATATTTGTCAGAGAGAGGGACAATTGCTAAAGAGGAAAGCAGAAAGATATCTAGTTCAGCACACTCTGAGGAAGATCAATTTTAGGAATGAAACATGCAAGTTGACAACCTGAGAATTAACACTCTTAAAACTATCCTTAACTATATAACCCCCGGAAAGCCTTTATGTACCTCTCAAGGTTAAGGGTAAAGGATATATGTTGCTCAGTTCAGAGACTGCCAGTTTAAGATGCACACAGGTTGGCATACACGCAGTTTAAGAAAAGTCATGAACTCTAAGGCATTCATAATTCATTCTCTCTCTGTGTGTGTGTGTGTGTGTGTGTGTGTGTGTGTGCGTGCATACATCTGAGAGACAGGGAAACGAGGGGTAAGGAGACAAAGGAGAGGGGAGTGGGAGAAAGTACGGGGAAAACAGGGAAGACTACTGTGTATGCCCAAATACCAGCTTTTATTTTTGGTAGTATTCTTGAAATCGCTTTTATCCTTGCCACTAAAACTATTCTCATACCCTAAAGATACAACCTGGACATGTGATATGTAAGGAAAAGAGAGGAAGAAGTTTCTGAAACAACACTGATGAAATGACACTGAAGCTGATATGAATATGAAAAAAGAGATACTGCCATTTCAATTTAGTGGTATTGACATATTAGGTTTTCTTCCTCTGACAATGAAGAGCCACATCTATCCAGGGTGTACCAAAGCAGTCCTCAGAATACACAACAAAGAAACAGAAAACATGACCCCTGAGGTAGTATGACATTAATCAAATTAAATACACAATTTAAATCACTAATCAGAAATTCACTTAAAAATTTTTCTTAAATATTGCACTTACTGATTCTTTTTACTGTATTCTTCACAGCTCAGATATAGACACAGTCTTCATTTAAGAAAAAAAAAAAGTTTTTTCATTATTTTTACATGTTGCCTAAGATTTGAAGCTCTAAAAATGCACCTTATTACCTAAAAATAAGAAAAAAGGCTAAGCCACAGTCAGAATTTGTGCTAGCGCCCATATTCTTTGTTAAGATATTGCTTTGAAATCCAATCTAATCCAGTGAAAAAGGGAACCCAGTGTCAGCCAGTATCATGTGCTTCAGGAGCCCTGTCCCTGATGGAGAACATCTGGATCTTGGAGTTGCGGGGGGTGGAAAAAAGTGGAGAAGGAGCTTATCCTTCTTTCTTTTTTTTTTTTTAATAAGCGACAACATGTAGACAGGACAATTTTTAAAGTACCTGGTGTCAAGAGTGTTCAGTTCAGTCCAAAACAGCCATTCTGAAAAAAATACATATCTTTTTAAAGCAGTGACTTGTTTTGAAATATTCAGATTTGAGTTTGTAGCTACAAAAAATGTAATGGTTTAAAAGAAAAGAAACTGTCCCAAACTTGGCCTTGGAGACAGCTGTTTAGATGATGTAATTCACAACTCCCTCTTGGGAAAATAGGAAAATTGCTGAAAAAAATCCCTAAACAAAGTTCCAATACATTTCAATGGAATCAAGATGCTCTGGAAAATCAACCACTCACTGAACTAGTTGGCTATCAGTCAAGATTATCATTTAGGACCCTTAAATTCTTTTCTTTCTTGGAGCTTAACAATTATCTAACCATTCTCTTTTCCTATAAAATGTCCTTATCAAGACTGTATCTTTTAATTATCAGAGGCCTTTCCCTGATAATAAACCTTTAATACACGATTATATCTGAACTGTGTAACAAGTTTTCTCTAGTAATTTATTTTATTTGTTAAAGTTAATTGAAGCAGATTCAGGATAGAAAGTGACCATTTGCAGCTAAATCCAATGACTATATGGATTATATTTTGTCATAATCTAGCAGGGGTTCCACAACCCAAAAAGAAAAATCAAGATGTTTTACTTGACTGAAATAATAAAGTTTATATATCCTGGTTAAGCAAATACATTTGTTAACAAACCCATTATATGTTTGTCAATAAACCCACTGTGTAGTGTGCACTAGGAAACAAAAATTGACTCCCTCAACAGATAAACTTCAAAATACTGATTTATGACATTTTCTCTTTACTTACCCAGAAAGAAAAGATAAAAATGATTTCCCCTGCCTTTTCAACAATTCTTAAATTATCTTAAATTGTGAACGAAGATTCAAAAATATTTCTACACCTTCAAATTAAAAACCAGATTACCACTATATGTCTGATGACTTGTGATGCCTCAACCAATTTTGCTAGCATTCTTCAAAACTCTACCTGTAAAAACACACCACCTAATTGTTGTTTTAAATTGAAAATTCTCAAAATGCATCACGGAACTAATAAAAAAAAATTAAGGACTGATACTTGCTCAAAATATTCAAAACACTGTTCTCTTCCATTCTCCAGCCCAGTAAATTGAAGCAAATCGTTTCCTTTCTCAACGATAACAATAATACACATTTCTAAGTATTTTTGAAAATATCATAAAACTTCAACTTGTGGTCTTTGTTCCTAACAACTATAAATTTTCACTTAAATCTAAACCAAAAAAGAGAGGCTCAACAACAATAAAAAAAACGAATTCTCATGTAAACCCTTGACCGAAATCCATCCTATTGGGCTGACAGTTGGGCTGATAGTTAAGACGGCAGATGACAAAATATTACTTTAAGGGGGTGGTGAGGAATGTCCGTATTGCTAACTGGCGGTTAGTGAAGTTAAATTTCCTATAATTATTGGTCTTTGTTTATTTGTTTATTTAACCAATAATACCTTAGAGCATAATACAGGGGTTCCATCTGGCTGCGACCTTCCATGATTGTAATTAATTCAACTACTCGTGATTCCACAGCTAGGGACTGTCTACCATCTAGAAATAAGCAAGGTGGTGGCAACACCAGGGAAGCCGGGCACAACTCCAATACTTTGGCATCTTCTCCCTCTCATTTCATAAACTGAGCAATGTGCTGGAAGCCGCGGTGTCGTTTGTGAATAACTACAGACCCCTACGCAATTCGTCGAGTTTGTGCCTCAAGTGATCGCCTGAGGGCTTGCAACGAGCTTAGAAAACAGAGGCTACACAGGGGTGAACTGCTTCTAACAGACTTCCCAGTTTCCAGCCACGTCAGCTCCTAAACCTGTAGGGGCGCTACTCAGCCGAGCCAGCATGTACCACACGGCCCGGGAACCCCCAAAAGGCCGCTGTGTGAAAAAGACGCACTAGAGGGCGCCCCTGAAAGGGGCCCCTGGCCCAACTGGTAAGGCGGCTGCTAACGCTCTTACCTAACTCCACTCCGCCTCCAACGCTCTTACCTAACTCCACTCCGCCTCCGCCTCCGCCTCTTGGCGTCGCGCGGCCACGCCCCGTCCCGCTGCGGAGGCTCACGGGACATGTAGTACACCGCGCGCCACTCCTGCACTTCCCCATCCCCCCACGACCGAACCTGGCTTCCCTATGCCCTCCCAGCTCTCTCGGGCCTGACTTCCGGTTTCCTCGCGCGGCCCTGGCGCCGAGCCCGTGGACGGCGGCGGCCTCTTTTCCGGCTGAGAGCTGAGCCACACTTCGAGTACTTTCCCGCAGTGCTTCCTCTCCCACAGGCCCGTGCTGGTCCCGACGGCCGGCCTGGGTCTCGCGCGCGTATTGCTGGGTAACGGGCCTTCTCCGCGTCGGCCCAGCCCCTCCAGCCTCGGCTTGTCCCTCCTTCCAGAACATCCAGGGCTCCTGCCGAGTCAGAAGAAATGGGACTCCCTCCGCGGCGCACCCGGTGCAACTCCCTTCGCTGTGGAAGCGGCGGTGTCTTCGAAGAAACCGGAAGCCCGTGGTGACCCCTGGCGACCCGGTTTGTTTTCGGTCCGTTTCCAAACACTAAGGAATCGAAACTCGGCGGCCTTGGGGGCGGCCCTACGTAGCCTGGCTTCTGGGTGAGTGACTCGCCAGGGCCGGGTGGAGGATAGGGATGCGGGCAATGCCGCGGCCAACCTCCGTTGCTGTTGCTGGTCCGAAGAGACACGTCATTTTTCTCTTACTCCCTCCCGCGCCCCCTCCTTTGACTAGGGAGCGGCCCACTCCTGGGCATCCCTTTCCCCAGTCACCCCCACACCCAGCTGTCCACACCCCTTCCCCTGTCACCCTCACCCCCAGCTGTCCAGGCCCTTCTTGGTCATTCACTTCTCTAATTCCTCCTTTTCTTACTGGGGCGCCTTGAGGTTTTTTTTCATTCGTTGGGACTGCCAAATGCTTCTTTCCGATACAAATTATCGGAAAGAAAAGGGGGACGTTGGCTAGGACGGCACTCCCTGGGGCATCTGAGTAGTGAATATCGACGTCCTGCACTTGATCGAGGGCTAACAGGTATTCGTCGTTTCTCCAATGTCTAACCTGTGTACGGTATTCATTCCAGCCTTCGGCTATTTGTTGAGTAATTACTACTACGTGCAAGGTAGGCTAACACCCTCTACACACAAGAAACCCCAATACTCGAAAGCGAGATAAAATCCCCAGGAAAACTCTTAATACCAATCAAACCATCAGTTGCTCCAAGACGTAATGGAAATTTGCTAAGGTAATCAAAGACAAACGTACCAGGATTGAAATTAACCCTTGCTCCTTAAGTATAGAAGGCATTTTGGTTTTTAGATTGGAATTTCAAATTGGATTGAGCAAGATCTCAAGGCACAATTTCATTTCTCTAAAAACGCCATATCTAATTGCCCAATCTTGTGATCATTCCATCGTCTGTAAATTGAGAACAGTGCATCATTTACAGGATATTTACAAAATTTTAATGTGATACTGTTTGTGAGCGAGACGTCTTACGCAAATAGAAGGTTTTAATATTAAAGAGACAGCATAACACAATGGGAAATGACACTGGATTAGGTCAGAACACCAGTATCTGAATGCTGATTTTTCCACTTACTTGACAATGGGGAAAGGCTAAACTTCCTCATTTTCCTTTTCTCTGAAACGGGGGTAATACATACTCTAAGTCACCAAAGCATAGTTTCTAAGAGTTATGGTGGCTCTGGAGTCAGCTGCCTGGTTTTCATTTCTGGCTCCCCTACTTTCTAATGTTTTCATGTTTCAATTTCTCCACCTGTAATCTGAGGAGATTATTTACAACCTCGGAGGTATTACATAGATTTACTGAATGCTTATGAAGAACAAATCAGATAGTTTCTCTAGAAGATGAAGCATACTGCTTGGTGTACCATAAACACTTGGCTACTGTTAATTACCAATGCAGAACCCTGTCATGTTTATTAAGTAAAATGATGAAGTTTTTTTATAATCCGTGAAGTAACAGGACCAATCTAACTTTTTTCTTTTTTATGGCACTTATATTCAGAGTGCAAGTATGGTTGTCTTGTACTGTTAGAAAATAATTATCAGTAACACCAGTAACATTGAATTGCATTAGAGGTATTACTGTATGAAAGGAATGAAAAGAAGTAGACTGCTCTTCATACCTATGCTAACTGTGGAAGAGTCTTATGATTCAGTGCAATACAAACTGATTTCTGGACTAACACAGTTTATTGGATAACTCAGTGAGTCATAAAAATGGAACTGAAGTTTTTCTTCATGTTGTGTATCTAGTGCTGAGTACATTTTTGGACATTTATTGAATTACAGGTCATTTTATTGCGAATGTACGCACATAAGAGATGATATCTTGAAAAGAGGTACTCGGTGACCCGTCTTCATAAACTAGTTAGGCTATTTCCGCCCCTATTTCATTACAAATAGAGGAAGGGGAATAAGCGTTGGTCCGTTCGTCTTCATAAGACTTAATCCTTGCTCCACAGTATTTTGACTGATTGTACGAAATGGGTTCGGGAATATCCTAGCTTTTCAGAGGTAGAAAGGTGATGAAAATTCTAAATATGATTTACTTCAGGAGGCAATATCGAATAAAGAGCCTACCATATAGGCCTCGATTCAAGCTTCAGTTTTGTCACATACTGCTGGTGTGAATATAGGCAATTTATCTCACCTCTTTGAGCCTCAGTTTCCTCATTTATCATGGTGCTAATACCTTCCTTGCCACGTTTGGTGTGGACTTGAGATAATGTGTGTACCATACATTTCATGCAGCTCCTGGCATAAATGTGAATTCCCTTCTCTCTGTTTAGGTTGCCATTCTGTATTTGTATTAAACTTTTGCCTTCACAGTTTAGTAAGGTGGCATCTTAGTGATGTAGTCTAACCCTGTCATTCTAGATAGGTGGGAAAATTTCGATCTAGAGAGGTAAAGCAAACTAAACTATAATCAGGGTGGCAAATCCTAGACTAGAGTCTGTGTTTCTGAATCCTGGGCAAGTGTTCTTTATGACATAGTTATGCCTTGTCCATATTCTTCTTAGGATAAGCAGAATCCCTTTTGTATTGCCTCTGCAAATGTTGTATTAAGACCATAGACTTAGAAGACAGCTTATTTGGTTTCACGTCTCACCGTTGTCACTGATTAGCTGTGTAGCTATAGGTAAGGTATTTAACTTTTCTAAGACTTTGTTCATAACAGTACTTAGCTAAGTGGTAGAAAAATGCGTGTGACTGGAAGTTAGCAAGCTGTGAAGGTGTAGGTACAATAAGTACAGTACAATGAAAACCATTTTCTTCACATAAGAATACAGTCTTAAGAGACATTTGCTCTTTTGTGGTATCTTCTTTGAAAACCACTTTTTCTCCCCATTCCATCAGACCCCCATAGAGTTCTGTTGTTTCAAATTTATTACCTACCTTTATAGTATAATAATTATTTTTCTGCACAACTCTGCCTCTCACTCTGGGTTTTCCTTGCTGTGTAAATGATTGTTTCGTGATAAAAATGAACAAGTAAATCACAGCTGAGCTAGTTAGAACTTTCTGTAAAACAGAGGTGCATGAGCCCTAATCTTTAAAATACACAAACTGCAGGATATCTGTTTTTGACTTTGTAGAGCAGTTTATGTTATTTCTTGTTTTCAGCTGTCTTTAGGAAAAATCCACATCGAATAAATTCTGCCCATTGGGTTGAGTATTAAATTATTTAAGTCAAACATCTATGGACACAATTTTACTTCTCCTTAAACCAAACTGCATTCTACCGCTTACCTAGCCATCTAATGCTTATTTAACTTGCTCTCCTTTTACGGGGAGAGTGTGTGTGTGTGTGTAAGAGTCTTTCTTATATGAAGATATATATGCATACTTTCAGTTTGCAATATGAGAAAAACCTGTACTTTTCTTTTGAAAGGAAATAACGGGAGTTTCAGCTAGCAAGAGCATGACAGGAATATGTTTTCTCTTATTTTGGAATATCATTGAATCTGGAGACTGAAAAGTAAACTCTTTTAGAGGAAGAAAACTTAAACTTTTCATCATTAGGAGCAAATACAGCTTGCATCAGAAGCAGCATGAGTTAATTATGGTTCTGAGAATCTGCTGCTTTTTTGGTATACTGTAGGTAGCATAGTATATTCTTGTGCTTGGACTTTATTGAAAAACTGGAAAAGATTGTACCTTAAGGGTGGGAATTGTCCTGTGTGGTTAGAAAATGTTAAATTGATGTTAGTGAAGATTGACTGGATGGCAGGTTTTATCTACTCAAGACTTGTAGCGTACACATTGATTTTAACCTGCCTTGCTTATTCCTAGATGCAAATTGCTTAGGTGCTCCCAACTGTTGCTTTAGTTGACAATTGGAAGTTTTTAGTTGTACAATTAGAAAAGCAAAAATACAATGATATAAGACCAGACCCAGAAAAACACAAAACCTTTTGTTGGTATTCATGTGGTCTGAAATAAGGCAAAAGATATGTTATAGGCATTAGTTGATACGAGAAGGGAGATTAGACATTTTGGAAGAAAGCAGGCGTAGTGAAACGAGTTGGAAACCCGTTAACGGGTTAAATTGTCTATGTTTACATCTCAACTCTCCACTTACTATGTTACTTTGGAAAAAATACTTAAATTCCTCCTACCTCAGTTTCTTCATCTATAATGTTCTTGAACAGTGACTGATGTTAGTAAGTAACCAAGTTTTATTTCAAACAAGGGATAGTTAAAAACTCACTTTCTAGTAATAATTACTGACCTAAGATACATGAAATTCAATTGATAATCTTTCTTTAGAATGTTATATTTAGTTTTTTATTTTAAACTAAAAACTATTTAAAAGGACTTTTTGGGTTCTTTTGCATGATCTAAAGTCCCTCTTATTCTGTTTTTCCCAGGAGGTCTTAAAAGGTTTTAGCCACAATTTCTCCTTCCATCATGTTTTTCAGGAACATAACTCTCAGAGAAGTAATGCTGAACCTAACAGCAAACGTAGATGTTCAGAACAAGTCAGTTTTTCGTTAAACAATGAAGGTAACTAGCCTCTTAGGTTTTGAAGTCAGAGTTTGATTTGAATCCTACTGTACCCACTCTTCATTCAGTAATCAGTATTTATTGAGCAATTTTTACACAGTGATGAGATGGGGACACAATGATGGGCAAAACAGACATAGCCTCTGCCCTCACAGAGCTTAACATTCTTCTAGATTTAACGGGGCTAATCCAACTTTCTAAAACCTACCTATAAAATATAGGTGATACCTATTTCATAGAATTGTTCAGATAATTGAAAGAGATAAAATAATATAGTATATGATAGTGGGACATATTGGACACTCAAGTGTTGATTAATTTGTCTTCTAAATATACAACAAACATAACCAATTACTGATACGGAAAGATAGAGTATGCTTTAAGACTTCTATAATATTAATATGTTGTAATGAATTATACTCAGAATTTTTGAGAAGTTATAAATTGAGAAGCTATAAAACTTGCTACTAATAGATCTAAGTGGAAATGTTAGGAGAAGGAATATTTGGGGATGAAGTATTTTAAAAATTTTTGATTGTTTTAATGAAGCTGATATTTCAGATTTTTATAGAACATATTAACAATTATAGTTTTAAGTGGTTTATAGATATCATTTAATATTCTTAAGATTCTATGAGGTATTTGCTATTATTCCTTGTACTTTATAAATAAGGAAACTGAAGCATAGAGGTTAAGCAACTTGCCCAAAGTCAGACACTAAATGGTAGAGTTTAGAATATAACTCATGCAGTCTGGTTTTTAAACATTGTCCTAGTATTTACATTATTCTAACTATAACTTTTTTTCCTTTTCACTTATTCAGTGAGACATTTGTCATTCATATTTTTTTTCTTTTGAACAGCTGTCATGGATGCACTGGTAGAAGATGATATCTGTATTCTGAATCATGAAAAAGCCCATAAGAGAGATACAGTGACTCCAGTTTCAATATATTCAGGAGATGAATCTGTTGCTTCCCATTTTGCTCTTGTCACTGCATATGAAGACATCAAAAAACGACTTAAGGATTCAGAGAAAGAGAACTCTTTGTTAAAGAAGAGAATAAGATTTTTGGAAGAAAAGGTAATTTTTATCTTTTGCCTTCATTGTGTTTGTGACATAAGGAATAATTCAAAATATTTGCAATTTTGAATACTTTTTGTGCTGTCTTCCATGATTGTACTAAATTTCCAAGAATAACTCACTGCTAATCTGAAAACTCTGGGCATTATACTTATCCTGTATTTCACATACCATGTACTTGTACCTGTATCTGTAGGAGAGGATTTAATAACTTGGAATTATATTCCAAATATTTTTATTTCATTTTCAGGTTTACTTACCTTCATAGCTGTATGTATTTTATTCAGAATTTTCAAATCTGGGCAAAAAAAAAAAAAAAAAAAAAGATACACTGACAAAAGATATTAAGTTTCAAAGGAGGAAGCTTCTGGAACATTGTCCAATAGGTTTAATAATGTATTTACCAGGGCTGAAATATTCACTTCAACATTCTTTCTCTTGTTTAACACATGTAATAGGAATAATGCTTTTAACTGATAAACTGATGTTTTCTGTTTACCTTTCCATGTACAATTGTGACACACCTGTTATAGAATATATAAGTAAGGTAGCTGATTCAATATAAAGCACCAATCTACTTGGCTTTATATATGAGGAATATTCTTCAGTCATCCTTTTGTTTTTGAATTTTAAAGTTTTAACTTAGCTTAGTTTATATTTTTTCAGCTCAGGTCAGAGCGTTTTTATCCTACAAAAAGCAGCTACCACAAAGGGTAAAGAATGCATTGTCCTGTATAATAGAAATTAATTATCCAAGGAAATGAATTATCCTATATAAAAAAAACTTGAAGATGGGGCTTGGTAGAGTTTGATTCATTTTTGGTAGGAAGTAAGAGGAAAGGAGTCGGATGTAAAATAATTATAATTTCTTTGTATTGATATGAATTATGTTTACTTTAATGTTGATTATGTAAATTTGTAACATACTGGGATACAGTGAGAGAAGGTAACATTTTGGATCATGTAGCTTTATTTTAAAGTTTAGTAGAAAAATGAGATTTTATGTATAGTTAACATTGGAAATATTTCTGTACTTCATGACCAACAATCCTATTAATTCCTATTCTATAATATGAAGGATTTAATGAATTAACACGCACATCTATTTCTTAAAAAGTCAAGTATGCCTTGGCTGGGCACGGTGGCTCACAACTGTAATTCCAGCACTTTGGGAGGCCAAGGCAGGTGTATTGCCTAAAGTCAGGAGTCCGAGACCAGACTGGCCAACATGGTGAAACCCCATCTCTACTAAAAATACAAAAATTAGCAGGGCGTGGTGGTGCGCCTATAATCCCAGCTCGTCAGAAGCTGAGGCAGGACAATCACTTGAACCTGGGAGGCAGAGGTTGCAGTGAGCTGAGATCGCCCCATTGTACTCCAGCCTGGGCAAAAAGAGTGAAACTCAGTCTCGGGGGAAAAAAAAAAAAAAAAAAGTCAGGTATGCCCTAAGGTGCTGCTTTTTCTCCTGAAAATTAGATACTTTTAATTTGAAAAACATCTAAGCACTGTGCATCACATCTATACTCTGTTGTAGTTATGATTTAATGTGATAAAACAGATACCATGAATTATAAATTACTGATTAGGTAAAAGCATAGAAAACTTCAAAAAATATTCTGCACTATTTTTGCTTTCTTTGTAAAGATTAATTGTGTGGAAATGAAATACTCACCTAATGAATCCAGGCTTTATCCCCTTATTACAACAATTCAAGTAAGATATGGAGCCATCAGAACACTGACTTATTTTTTATCTGTAGAATACTCTCTTAAACTTTCTCTTCTAATTTCATACCATTAGCTAATAGCTCGATTTGATGAAGAAACAAGTTCCGTGGGACGAGAACAAGTAAATAAGGCCTATCATGCATATCGAGAGGTTTGCATTGATAGAGATAATTTGAAGAGCAAACTGGACAAAATGGTAAGTTGGTTTGAAAAGAATGACATCTGTATTTTGGAAATGAATTTTCTCCTTCAAGAAGTTTAAAATTAGAAGTAAGTTAAATATTCACATTTAGTAATTAAAATTTTATATATATGCTCAAGGCAAAATGGAAATTTTAGTAATATTTTAACTTATTTTTATGTAAAATATTTAGTATGTTATGATGTTTAGGACTTAAATATGTCTAACACCACTGACTTATTTTGAAAAATTATTACGTGGTAGATTTAGTCTTTTTTTTTTAAGCCAGTGAATAATGATGTCCTAAATTAGAAAAAGAAAAAAAGAGATTTCTGAGAAACTGAGTTCATTTTCTCACCTTGCTTTTAAAGACAAGAATGTGTTTTTTTCAATATCTACCTGAAAATTGCAATATCATACCATCGTGTAGATTTTATTGAATGTAATTTGGCATTTTCCCTACTTAACTAGAATAAAGACAACTCTGAATCTTTGAAAGTATTGAATGAGCAGCTACAATCTAAAGAAGTAGAACTCCTCCAGCTGAGGACAGAGGTGGAAACTCAGCAGGGTATGCCAGTTACTTGTTATAAGTATTCCAACAGAATTAGCATATTTTTCCATTTATTTGTAATATCAACAGTTTTCGTATCCATATGCTAAGACCTTATTTTTAACTTTTAGGTTTATGTCAATTTCTCTGTTCTACCTTCACATAGTATCAACTTCCTTTAACTTTTCCTTAGCTATATATTGCACTTTTCCTAGAGAAAGTGTGATGGTTTTTATTCAGGTCTAGGTTGTGATGAAGCAGAAGAGGAAGAGAGTAGAAGCGCAGGAGCAAGAAGCAGAAGTGAAATCACCTAGCCCGTTGGTTGTCCCGGCTTCTCTTTCTTACTGAGCATCTTGCCCACAGTTAAACACGCTGCTATGGAGTTGTTACAATTTCTTTTTCTTTCCGAAGGTTGTTAAAAGGTGCAGATGAAATGTTGGGGTGGAAAGTTGGATCTGGGGCATATGGATGAATATAGCCTGTTCCCATGAATATTCGTTCTGATGAGACAAGCTAAGAGTGGGTCTCTGAGAGACCTTTTGATAGGAGATTGAGATGCAGTCTCTTAGCATAACTAGTTGGGGCTTTTTGTAGCTAGAGAGACTGAGTTACTAATTAAAGAATAAAGCAGTATCCAGTTGTATTGAGTTTCTGCAGTGGAATGTTTAAGGATAAATTGTTTTGACATCATACTCTGAGCTTGGTCAAACTTCGTATTCTCTGAGAGGACTAGATGGAATGATTAGCTGAGCCTCAGTTTATTCAGTTTATTATTTTTGTCACTGTTTTAACCTTCACTTATGTAGAATATTGATCTGTCTGCAATTTTAGCACATGCTTGATTTTAATGTAGTTGTCTTTAGAAATTCTAAAACAAGATTGCTAGATTTCTTACTCTCCTTAGCATAGATATTTGAAAGTATTAATAATTACTGTTTTTAAAAAACTATTGATCATATATGTTTTATGATAGTTTTTCTGTTATCTACATTTTACCAGAGTAACCTATTTTTAAGAATTGCAATCAATGTGGAAGGAAAAGATAACAATTCCATTGTCCATCCTTTTTGTAGTGATGAGGAATTTAAATCCACCTTCATCAAACTGGGAGGTGGAAAAGTTGAGCTGTGACCTGAAGATCCATGGCTTGGAACAAGAGCTGGAACTAATGAGAAAAGAATGTAGCGATCTCAAAATAGAACTACAGAAAGCCAAACAGACGGTATTACAGAATTACTAAATCGAGAAATTCAGTGTTCTTTGTACATCATATGTAGGATTTATAACTAAGTATGTATTAAACCATAGAGTTAAAATAAATTGTAATTACTTAGAGAATTAAAAAATTCTTGTTTATCTACCTCTTTAAGCATTTCTGCTAAAATTTGACATGCCATATACTTACTCTGTCACAAAATTAAACAATTTTGTTGTTTAAAAGGTTGATTTTTAGTAAGCTTATTAGTTTATTATAACTGTTCTTTCAGAGTCTTTCCTTCAATTTCCTTAAGTTACTTTTTTCTCTGTAAAGTTTAAAGGGTACTCAGGTTTTAAGTCCTATATTATTTTACTTAATAGTTTCATTAATTTATATATCATAAGGGACAACTCAAGTTTTAGAATTAAACAAAACAACATGACCAACAAAGAAAACATGACAGAGCTTACTTATTTTCAAAAGACTAATACTTTGGGGCATCTTTAACTACCAGCAAATAGCTGAGAATTTAAGAATTGGAAACAATAACAAAAACCTGCCAAGTTGCTGAAGTGTGTTTAGCCTGAAGTCAACCACTAAAACAAGCTGCCTCTTAGGTCCTCACCAAGAGTCTATTTGCCCAATATTTTACACCAGGTTCTAACAAGCTTGGATCTATGTTTTCAAACGTCATGACAGTGTTGAGATTAAAAGAAGAAATGATAAAGTAGCAAAGTAGTGTGACAGCAGTGCACCAAATGCAGATTTTAAATAATTATTACAAGACATTGAAAAGCTTAGTAGTCTGGAGCAAATAGCCATTTTATGCATTCATGTGTCTCAAACTAAGGTATAACCAGTTACATAATTGTTTCTGCACTCAACCATTTTGCCTACCAAAGCATTCTAACACTATCGAGGAATTGTGTTTCTTATTTCTTGTTCCTCTGGGATACTGCCACCTGAAAGGGGAACTCCATCCCATACTTCCTGACTGCTTTCCAGATTCTGCCCTGAATCTCAAGTGTTCTTAGATGGAGCTGATACTTCTTTCTTCTGTAATGTAGTTTTTATGAGAGGTGACCACTCGATAAGAATGAGCCAGACATTGAGAATAATATAGCACTCTGCCTAGTCCTTGGCCAAATGAATTCCTCTGAAATGGGCAATGAGAACTCACTTTGGCACCCCCATCCCTGATAAAAGGGAAACACTACAAAAATTATTGTCATCTCCCGCTAGAGCCAAAGTGATTTTTTTTCCTACTTGACATATAAAGTTGATTGTTCCCAGCTTTGAGCTTGTGGCCACACACCACAATTCCTTCAAAGACTCAGCATCCTTGTTCCACAGATCAGTTACTGTCACCACTGAGAAGCCTCTTTTCAAAAGATGGGTTTACAAGAAAGGATATGCACCTTGAAGTTCTGAATTATAATTGTCAGTATTTATATTCTGTTTGAAAGGAAATAATTTGATAGCCTTTATACGTGATGGATATTTTGTAGTGTAGGAAGCAGTACCATGGAATCGGAAACTTAGCTCTGAATTTTGGTGTTGCTTATTAACTGTAACATTAGGAACACCATTTTACTTTTTGGAAGTTGTTTTCTGTAAAGTAGACATTAAATACCTTTTTTCATGAAGGTTAAATTAGTGTATGTAAAGCAGTTATTAGGGCCTTTCGACGTCTTCTAAACCAACTTTATTTACTGATCTAGTATCTCTTTTACTTCTTTGGCCCTAGAGTCTGTACTTCTCACAGGATCAACTGTTTCTGAATATAAATGGCTGGAATATTAGGGGACACAGTTTTATTCTCCTGATCAAACATGACTGTCATGCTCACAGGACTTAGTATATTAATCACAGCTAGTTAGCATAGTGGCTATTATATAGTATGTTCAGTAGATAAATGCTTTTTTAAAAAGATTAGAGTAATCCAGAAGGTCAGTATTTTTAGGTATTTATATGTATTGAAATTTCTATTCTTAGCATTTTAGTTATTCTTTTCCACTAGATGGTGCTAGGGAATAAATTTGCTTTTAGTTTAAATTCATCTTTCATAAGTAACCAAATCACAGAAACAGACTTCTAGAGGTAGAAGAAATCACTTTCTTTAAATGATGACTAAATTATGTCTGAGAGACAAGAAACTTTTAATAGTTAAGATGAGCTAAGAGAGGAATATTGAAAAGGCAATATTTATAAGATGGCCCCCACCTTCACAGGCATTTATTAGGGGTAGGGTGAGGCTGTGAAGTTAAAAAGGGCTTACTCAAACTAAAATAAATGAACAAAGAAGAGGAAGAGTGGAAATAACAGTTTATCAAGGGTTCCGAGTTGAAATCTTGATGCATACTTGCAAATCTTCTTTCTATGATGTTGCTGGCCAGAGTCCTCTTGGATACACGAATCTGAGGGGAAGCCAAGGAGAGAAATTTATGTTCACAATACTCTAGCCATATTACTCTAGCTCACATTACTCTAGCCATATTAACAAATTTTGTTTTTTTTAAGATGACACTTTCAGTGAAGCATTTTATAAAACCTTCTGAAGTATGTAATAGCATCCTACATGGATATAATAGTGGTTTTTTTTGTTTGGGTTTTTTTTTTTTTAAGTGTTTAGTGAGGGAATTCAGTTCATTAGTATGTCATGTTAGTGAGGTTACAGGGGCAGTTCCACTATGGGCTTTTTAGACTTTCTATGTCCCCTAATATTCCAGCCATTTATATTCAGAACAGTTGATCCTGTGAGAAATACAGACTCTAGGGCCAAAGAAGTAAAAGAGATACTGGATCAGTAAAATCAAGTTGGTTTAGAAGACGTCTGAAGTCCCTAATAGCAGTAGCCCAGTTAGAGATTCACAGTGTGCTGTCGTATGTTAAAGGTTCTGCTGTAGTACAGAAACCTATATAACTTGAACATTGTTTCCCAAGATTTCGTAGCCATGGGCTTCACCTTATATGAAACTCCCACATCATATGGCACTAGTTGGGGAACAGATCCATTATCACCTTCAGGACATAGGCAGTCTATTACTAGCAACAAAAGCGTCTGAATACTAGATACAGTCCCTATGAGCTTACTGCTGATGTACATTAGAGTCTCTGAATTGTTAGATAGTAGTTGGAAAAACATTTTCCCACTCAAACTGTCAAATTTTTTATATTGTTGGCTTTAAAAATGAGGAAGATTTTTAATGAACATGTATACGTAAGTATATACTAATTTTTAAAAAAGATTTTAATTGATGATATGAAGATACTATAAGTGATCTGATCAGATTCCATTATTTCCTGCAAGGAACAGGAAAAACAAGGTCCAAGGATATATGTCTTGTTAATGGTCAGACCTCCCGGACCTGTGGGCCAGTTCTGGGCCAGTTCTGTTTCCCCTCTCCATGGGCTCCCTAAGATTTGATTTAACTGTTAGAGTATTAAAATCAGAGATCCAGAAATGTTTTAACTGCTGTAAGATTAGGTATTTTTCACATTTTACTCTCAAGTTCAGAGTACTTATGAAGTCCTTGTGTTGCTTTTTAATGTTTCACTGCAAATTATATAATTTAGATTGTATTAGTAAGAAATAATAAAATTAAAATTGGTATTCTGAGCTTATACTGGCCACATCTGCCAATAGAATTAATACCTGTGGTAATCATTATTTGTTACAGATCGTTAAATGAGAATGCATTGCAAACAAGTGTGTTAGAGTTGTCTCAAACATACTAAGTCCATTTAAAAATATCTTCTGAAGGTTCTTTCTGTCACATCTGCAAACTAAATAAACTAAATTTAAAAGCATACAGGGACTTTATGATGTCCTCGCCAGGTCATTTTTAATCCATGTGGAAGGAGGAAATGTATGCTGACGTTTTAAAACAGTAACCTGTTAAAATTCTGGTGTGTTTGGTAGTACTACAAAAAGTAAAATACCAAAAAACTTCCATTTTCTCATAGAATTCATTCACCTGTACCATAAGTAAACAGAAATGTGATAAATGTGTAATACTTTTTTGAATATAGACTTCAGATTGGTGTCTTCAGAAATATGTTTTGTAAGATTACAAGGTCTTTTACAAAATGAGAGCAATTTTATTCTTTTAAAGAAAATTAAAGTATTAGCATACTTTAAATTATTGGAAGTGATTTAGAGATATTTGTTACAGATTGGAGGTGTTTCATTAAAATTGAGTTTAAAATCTAATTTTATTCTTTGCACTTACAGATATATTCTGTAAAACCTGAAACATGTCTCTGGTAATGTAAGAGCTGAGACTAAATAAAATGTAAAAATTACAACTTTTAAACTTCTTTTTTTTTAATCAATTGACAGGATCCATATCAGGAAGACAATCTGAAGAGCAGAGATCTCCAAAAAATAAGCATTTCAAGGTATGACCATTCTTCAGCATTAAAATAATACATTGTCCTCTTCCATAAGTCACTTTGTGTAGGTCCTTAGATTTCTTTTATGACTTAACCCTAAAAACAAAAAATGGATGTTGTTTGGATACTGAATGTAACCTCTGATCACAATATATTTATAAAATAAAATTTAATTGTTAATAACAGCTTTGAATTTAAGTAGCAGAAAAATGGGATGCCTTAAACTTTCTGAACATTTAGTAATATTTTAGGTATGATTTTAGGGAACTAGCTTTATGGAAGTATTCTGTAATACTGAATTTGTACATGAAGAATTATTCATTATCTATATACAATAACATTCCTTTGTCTTAAGAGCTTACTTGGCCGTTGTTAGTCTTTGGGATAGCATGAAATTTATTTTGTTTGTTGTTTGTTTTTTGAGACAGAGTCTCTGTAGCGCAGCCTGGAGTGCAGTGGCGCAATCATGGGATAGCATGAATTTTGAGGACTGTTCCCTCTTCCCGTAAGAATAGAAGTAGCCATCAGAGTCCATATACTTTTTCAACCCTTTTTCCTCAAATACGTATCATTTTTACTTAAGTAACTTCAGTTCTGTGTTTTAAACTATCTAATAATTGTTGTTTCTACTATGTTAAGATAGCCTCTCTACATTGTTACCCTCCATCCAATAAAAAATAGTGATCTGACTTCATTGTTTTGTCATTTGGCTTCCAAAGTTTACTGACCTAAGTAAATAATGTGAATTGTGTCAGGCCAATTTCTATCAAAAACCTGCTTGAGAGAAATGATCAATTAGGAAAAACAATCTGAGGAAATGACATACAGCCATTCTTCTAGATCAGGGGTTGGCAGACTTTTTCTATAAAGTGCCGGCAGTAACTGTTTTATTCGGCTTTGTGAGCTGGCAGTACAGTCTCTGTTGAAGTTATTTAACTCTGCCATTTGAACAGTACTTCAATTATGCCTTCGAATTTTATCTAAGTTTACTGCAAGGAAACTTTTTCTTTTTTTTGAAAAATGTGTCTAGTATAGTGTCCATGTAAACTATTTCTGAAAATTATCTTGTCAGTTATCTTCTTTTCTCCTGTCAACCTAGGGTTCCCCTTATTTTTCTGTATTGTCCTTTTTGTAAGCCACTTCTAATCAGCTTAGAAAGGAGTAAAGAATAAAGAAATATCAGCAAGAGAGATCAAATACAGGGGCTATATAAATAGTACATTCGAAATATGTGATATAGAATGGAATTTCTGCTTCCATTCATGGGAGATTACATAATTTGGATCATATCCACTAAGAATTTCTTGAAAACCTGACTCCCCCCAAAAATACCTGTTTGAAGGCATCAGATAACTAACAGATATTAAAATCTCTCTGTGCCAGGATTTGGGGAAAGCTGTAGTCCCAAGGAGACAATTCCGTTTTCAAGGCTGCAAAGCTGTAATTGTGGCTCCAGAGTGTAATCTCGCAATTCTTTAAAGCTCAGTATCAATTCAGAGGAGTTTTTAGAAAGAATTGCCTTAAATTCAGTTTAAAAGTTACTTTGTGTTAAATCCGTGTCAACAGATGTATGGAAAGAATTGTGTAATTACAGCGTGTCCCAGTGGCTCTCTCAGTGCTCATATACACTTGTGTGTTTTTGCAAATTGGTTTGCATTTGTATCAGGTAGACAATGTGAACTGCAAAACCAATTAGGTTTCTCTCTTCTGGTTATATATTAGAAAACTTAGAACCAGATTTGTGGCCTACTGTTGGTAAACTTTTATCATGCATTTTTATGTTAGCCTCATTCTCCACTGCATTTTGTTTTGTTTTGTATTTTTCGCCTCATCATTTCCACCTGTTTCCAGTTTATGTTCTTGTGTTTTGTTAATCTTTGTAAGTTACTTCATCTACTTTTAAGAGGAACAATTCAGATGACAGATTGGTTTACTATATTGGAGAAAGTACATAGGGATATTTCCATTAAACCATTAACTAAAGGTTTAGATATTTTTAAGGAATATTTTTCAGTTATTTGGATAGCTTGCTTTTTGGGAACTCTCCTTTTTTGTATTGCTTCCATCATATTGCCAGGCAAATGAGGTAGTATACTGTTTTTGTAAGACAGAGTGAACCTTTTAATTACTGGAGGCCTTTTGTATGATACTCCTTGTATAAAACATCGTTTAACAATAATAACCCTATCAGAAATTTAACCAGTGTCTTGCCAGTTCCTGTTTTGATTTTGGCTTTAAGTTGATTGCTTTAGTTTTTAAACCAGATCTAGATATGGAGTCACTGTACTTCTTTTATTCATCATCTGTAAACTTACATTGTGGAACTGTGTTACAGATGACTTCCTAAAATGTAAATTCTAGGTTTAGAAAAAAAAAAGATAAGTGTTTTTCAAGCTCTTCTGTGTTTCCTTAGTGCTATGAAATTTTATTAGCTATAATAAGCATTGTAAAAATACGGAATAAGAAAGAACATACCAATAGCAGAGTGCATTACACACAATAAGGGTAAGTATGGTTTCTTAGAATTTTTCTTTGGGTTGCAGTGTAAAATGATTCTTGCTGTGCCTTGCAATAAAAAATGAAAGTCACTTGTTTGGGGGGAACCACAGTTGTCAAAATACACACTTTTAAGTCTATAACTCTTGGCTAAGAATATCCCATAGTTTAATTCTACCGTGGTGATGGAGGATGTAATAGTTCAGTAAATTTTCAAATGCTAAAGAAAAATATGTATGGCTGAAGTAGAAACTCAAGTAAGTGGATTTTTCTTATACAAGGAATAGTTATTTCTGTATTAAAGAGTTGCAGATATAGTGTCAATTAAGAAAATGACTTTTAGATGTTACACTTTGTAAGCAGGACATGTACTCCCTCCTTCAGTTGTGGACAAGCAGGTTTCATTTAAAAGTCAGAGATGTGAAGTTTTATACTGAGAAGTATAAAACTTATACTGAGAAGATTGTGTTGGCAATCAGCATATTGTAGGTGCGTGGTAATTGATGATAATATGAAAAATGTTACTCTAAAAGGGCAGTGATCAGTCATCAGACCTGGTAAGTGAAAAAAAGCTTTAAACAGCAACATGGCAGACTGCAGTAGACTTCTCAACCCATTTCCTCGTGTGTAAAATGAGGTTACCCACTTTACCAAGTTGGTGTGACAATGTGGTGAAGTGCCTAATATTAGTGCTCAGCCATCGTTATTTGTGCTTCATCTGTTTTTAGAGTTCTCATTTGAGAAGCTTCAGTGTTACATTTCAATATTTTAAGTAGTTGTGTAAATTCTTTATAGACAACTATATACATTAATAGCATTTTGCTTGTGGTGGCATTTAAAGCAAAACTTAACTAAAGTTTATACTCCCAATTGAGGAACTGTGGTGAGGATAGGAGGCTCACAATCTATATATTGTCTTTGAAATACCTAGATAAGAGGTTTAATTGGAAGCCTGCTAAAAATTAGGGATGACGACTTGCCTTTTCCAATATCATTTAAATGATGGTTTAAACATTTTATTCAAGTAGATAGAATTTAAAATAAGTTTTTACACACTTTGAAGATTATAGCACTTTAATATTAACTGTAAACTGGGAAACACTAACTGCAGTTACTTTGTTATCCACAAGAGGGTGAGCTATACTTAGTAATAATTTTAGATTTGCCTATCTGTAGTTTTAAATTCAGGTTACATTAAGAGCAAAAAAGAAGACTACATGTGTATTAAACTCAGTGACCTAGTTTTTAACTAAACCTAAGTTTTAAGCAGTCTTCACTAAATTGAACTGAAAAGTTTGTATTAGGCACTGTAAACACCATTATTAGAATTGTTTCTCTTCTTTTCTGTGCCTAGCTGTGTATTTTAGCTCTCAGACTGTCTTCAGTATTTGCTGTTTTCTCTAAAACGGGCTCTGATTTACTGTCTCACGCCAATAATAAACTATTTTTAAGCTGTATTATTCATACCATGACTGAATGAATTAGCACATGTACAGTGTTTACACTTACTGCTATATAATGTGAATAACTCTTCAGAAAGCATACAGAATGCCCAGAATTGTACCAAGAAACCAACAACTCTCTTCACACGTGAGACAGGTTCCTGTGTGAAACATTCATTGTAGCAAACATCTCAGATGTTTTTTGGTGAAGTAGACATGGTTAATTTTGTGAACTAATTATTTGACCCCTATTCAAAACTTGCAAAAAGCCCTGTGATTTCTAATACACTACAACTTAACAAATGATGTTTACAAGAAACTAAAGCACATTTTTCTTAAAAGCAGTGTAAAGTTTATTGACAAAAAGGTATTTCACCTTACATAATTCAAAATAATTATATTTTATAGATTATATATTAAATATAAACTATATTACTTCTGTAATTGGAGATATTAGATTTCAAAAATGTTGTCCTTTTGAGGTTTAAGTGTTTATGGTAACACAAAAATTGAAGCATAAGGTGACATGTTTGTCTAGTTTGATTTCTGTACTACTAAAATTACACTAATATCTCTAAGGGGTAATAATTATTTTTTAATGCTATAAGATTATTTAGTCTTATACTGAATACTTTGTGATATTCCTGTACAACAAAATGAGAATATATGCTGAAGATTTTAATTTCATTTAGTTGGTAATTAAGCAGCAAAAAAATAATAATGAATATCCGAGTATGAATGTTTAATGGAAAACAGAATCTATAAAAATTAGGTTTAAAATCACTAATTATAATTTCTTAGATAATTGAGGTAAAATACTTTTAATTATAAAAATAGGAGAGGCATTTTTGAAGTTTCTATTTCTGTTTCATATAATCCTCCCTCTCTAGCTTCTTTTTCCTTACCAGGAAATCATCTGGCTCTTCATGTCTTGTGCTGTCATGTCACATTGGTTTAGAACCAACATTATGAGACAGCCCAGTCAGACATAAAGAATGTAATACATGAAACCTAAATTTTATTTTAATGTGGACTTGGATATATATTCAGCAGTTGATATATCATTTCAATTCAGTGTCAAAACAATCAAAGGATAAATACAAATTGATCCATATTTGAATGAGTGTAACTTTACTGTTAATCAGATTTGCAAATAAAGAACATATTTCTTACTACTTACTAATTAATAGCTGCACATTATAGCCTAAAATAAAATCTCACTTCTGAGACTCTGCAAGAAGCTCTCATCCATTATATTTATTTTTATTATACCCTGTTCAATATCATACAGTTAATTGCTACATATCAGATGGACAGTATTATTCTTTCAAGATCTTTTCACTTATTAATGCCCTAGTTAAATATCTTTCAATTGTTTATTCAATTTACATCATCTCAAAACTAATTGGAGCAGAAATTTGATCTGCATATTTCTAAAGTTATTCCCTTTTGTCTATAAAAAGGAATGATGAGTATTAACTTTTTGTAAAAACATTTATTTCAGTGATAATATGCAGCATGCATACTGGGAACTGAAGAGAGAAATGTCTAATTTACATCTAGTGACTCAAGTACAAGCTGAACTACTAAGAAAACTGAAAACCTCAACTGCAATCAAGAAAGGCAAGTCACTGTTTACCGGAAACCACTGATGCCAGCCAAACTGCCTGAAGAGCAACTAGCTGTCGTATCTTATCAAAATCTCATCAAATGAGAGATTGATAAGCCAAAGTATATATAGTATGTTCGCAGCCTACCCATTCTCTGCTTTGGCTTCAGTCTCATACTGGTCAACTTCACACATAAAGGTGTTGCTGATGTGTTTTTTCTTCAGTACTGTATTCTTTTCCCCTTGTGGCTTTTCTCAGCCAAGTGTTGCTTATGTGTATAAGACTGAGGTGTTAAGTTTGCTCTAGTTGACCTTTTACCACAGCTACTTCATATATTTAAAAAAAAAAAAAAAAAGACACCAAAAGCAAATTTTCATTCCAGTGCTACAGAATACACTGGAGACCTAGCTTTTTAGGTTGTTTTGAAAAAAAAAAAACAAACTTTGATTCATTATTTGGGTTTTTGCATTTCTTATAAGCTTTTCTTTCCACAAAGGATATAGCTGATTACAACGAAGACTAGGTATTCTCCCCTTATGCCCTTCAAGCAAACAATTTTCATTGCTTTGCCTTTCATATTTAACTGCTTGACTGATTGAACTTTTTGAGTTTTGTGTTAACTAGTAGTAGCTACTTTCGCCAAAGCTATTTTTATACCTTAGAGAAAAATCAGTACATTTGTACCTAGTATTACATAACAGGTATATTTCTGAAAAGTTGTGTGATACAAATTTGAATGCCCTAAAATTTACTTTTTAAAAATGAGGTAGGACTTTTTATAAAAAATAATCACCGTCTAGTTTAAAATGACTTACTTATATTTCACATTGTCTTAAGAGGACACAAGGGGATTGTGTCATAAATACTTGTCCTCAGGAGTGTTTATTAGTGAGGAAAAATGTTAAACTTTGGAAAGGAAAATTGAATTTAGAACTACTTTTCATTTTTAGAGAGTTGGTTACATATAAATCAGGGAAAATAATATAGCTTATTTTTAGCAAATCTAGCTTAATTTTTGGTTCACTTTGTCCTTGAGTTTTCCAGTGGCCAGAGTTATATCTGACACCAAAGGTTGATGGTACAAATAAGATCTCTCTTTAAAGGGACTCAAAGTAATTCTGCATTGGGTTTTCATTGTAGCTTTGTTTACATGATAAATAGAACTACCAAAGAATAATAAAGGAGCAATGCTCTTTTCATACTTGGACATGGCTCATCCTTGTGTTCCTTCCTAGCTGATAAATAAGATATTTTTCAGTGCTTTGGAACGTAAGTTTTTTAGCACATTTCCTATGACAGTGGCAGGCTCAAGGTCACCACTCCTTATACAGAACTCATTGCTTTGAGGAGTACAGAGATGAGACTAGAAAAACCTTTCTCCTGACCTTTGTATCACCTTTTTTCCAAAGCCAAACACTTCACTTCCAGTTCTCCTCCATCCTTATCCACCCTCTCAGGAAAAACAACGAGCTTATTTTATAATGTCGTTCAATCTGTTTATTCTAAAATTGCATGAAGTCAAGCCTTTGTTACTCTTGGCCATCCTTCTTGAGCTAAGGATAAACTTACCTTTCCACACTGGTAGGTTGAGCTGGAGGGAGAGTAGAAACCTGTATTACCAACATGCTGGCTGTGGTGAAATAATAGCTTTTAAGTAGTCTTTTTCTAGGCCATTGCATTTGTCCAAAACTTTTTTTTTTGGCTAATTGAACTATCTCAGTCCCCACTGACATGTGAACAGTCTGCAACCCTTCTCCAGCCACAGTAAGAGCCAAGAGCAGGATCTTTATATGTATTTTAACTGTATTAGTTTCCAACTTTAAAAAATGTGTAGTTCTTCCTCTTTTAAAAGCTCTATGACATAGTTGGGACAGGAATTCTATATCCATTCTGCAGACAAGGAAAGAGACATCAGGAGCAGCTAAGAGATAAATATCTAAAGTCACAGTAAATTGCTGATCCAGGATTAAAACTCAGATCATCTGTCATCTCCTAGTCACAGTGCCTCAATGATCACACTAACTTGGAAATGTTAATTTCATCACCAGTTCTAGAATTCAGTCAAATTAGTGAAGTGTTACCGAATTTTATGATCACAAATGTCATCTGACATTTAGTCTGTGTTTTCTTTTTAGCCTGTGCCCCTGTAGGATGCAGTGAAGACCTCGGAAGAGACAGCACAAAACTGCACTTGATGAATTTTACTGCAACATACACAAGACATCCTCCTCTCTCACCAAATGGCAAAGCTCTTTGTCATACCGCATCTTCCCCTTTACCAGGAGATATAAAGGTTTTATCAGAGAAACCAGTCCTCCAGTCATGGACAGACAATGAGAGATCCATTTCTAATGATGGTACATGCTTTCAGGAACACAGTTCTTATGGCAGAAATTCTCTTTCTCTGGAAGACAATTCCTGGGTATTTCCAAGTCCTCCTAAATCAAGTGAGACGGCATTTGGGGAAACTAAAAGTAAAACTTTACCTTTACCCAACCTTCCACCACTGCATTACTTGGATCAGCATAATCAGAACTGCCTTTATAAGAATTAATTTGGAAGAGATTCACGATTTGACCATGAGGACACTACCTCTTTCAGTGGTCCTCCCAAGAAATTATTTAACAAACTGAAAGGAGATTTTGATTAAAATTTTGCAGAGTTCTTCAGTAACTATATTTGAACATACTGTACAATATTTACAAAAACCAACATAGTTGGTTTTCTAGTATGAAACAGCACCCTCTAGCTCCATATTCTAAGAATCCGAAATACACTACTCTACTAATTAATAAGTAAACTTAAGGTGTTTTAAAAAGAGAACTCTGCCTTCGATAATTGTAAAATTTTGCCTCTCAGAAGAATGGAATTGGAGATTGTAGACGTGGTTTTACAGAGTGTGAAATGTCTAAATATCTGTTCATGAAAATAAAAGGAAACCATGTATGTTGCTTCAGATTGCATAATGGAACAAATGGCAATGTGAATAGGTTACATTTCTGTTGTTACAATGCATAAAGATACTGAAAATATAATGAAATAAAAGCATCTTAGGTTATACCATCTTTATATGCTATTGTGTTTCAATATTTAAGATTTAAAGTGATTTTTTTAGTCACCATGTTTTGTTGATAAAATTTTAGAATGGAAGTTTGAATTCTAAGACTTGAAATAACCTGATCATTGAAGCCAACTTTGTCCCAGTATATTCCTTAAGTCCTAATTGGGGGAAAAAAAAAAGTGAAATAGTTGAAAACCTCTGTTAGGTGTAAACAAATGATTGTTAACCCTACACACCACTCAATAAGTAGTAGAAAGAGCATCACACAGATTTCAGTCTAATCTGCCCCTTCAGTGGGCCATAATATAAACATAAATGTATGTGTGTAATTATAAAAAGTCATTTTCTTCAAAGGGACTACAACTGCTCGTGTAGAGCAGCTTCTAAATTGTTAGACTTTGTATTGAGATGTAATATATTTATTGAGAAAGTGATTTTAAATTAGAATTTTTAATCATAGAAATCAAAGTTTGGGCTGTATTGATATTGTCAATCATGAAATGTCCACACACTCTTATTCTAAGTGGCCAATTACTTGTAAATAAAGAAGGAAATAACAAAGATGGCTTCACATGGAAATTTATCTAAATTCTTTCAGGGTGGAGATTTTCTTGGTTCATACACCTTTTGCCTGAGTTAAAGTATTTCATGTAGGAGGACTTTATCCTTTTTGATAGACAGTTTCATATATCTTGAACTCAAAAGAGTATCTCAGATCTCTTCTACTATATTACTGAATAGCATACATACATAGACAGTGTTCACCATTCACCAGATATTTTTTTCTTTCTATTATCTTACACTTATTCAAGCTTGTCTGTGATTAATGGAATTGGTGTCAGATGCTGGAATTTATTCTGACCAATGAACATACTGACTCAGGGGAGTACAATCTCCTGCCAAGTAATAGAACCAAACCCAATATGCATAAAACAAATACAATACTCCAGGCTTTAGCTGAAGGAAGCAACTACCTGTGTAATAACAAAGCAGCAAAAACTATTTCTCATGTGGCTGCATAGGCTGTATATTGTATCTGATCTCTAATGTAGCTTACTGGTTTACCTTTTTTAAAACCAAAATTGGAAATTTTCCTTTGTAAAGAAAAAAAGTCTTATGAAATAATTGCTTGAAGAAATTGTTTAATTAAAATAAATTATTTTTGTTTGAAATTGAAGTGGATGTGAAATACTGTCCTTGCCTATATATCTCAAAGTCTGGTACTAATTGTTAGTTGTTAATATGATTCATATAATAGACATTTGTTAAACCAGCTTTTGAGTGGAGAAAATTATTTTCCATTTAAACAGTACAGTGATGATAGCTATCAAACAGGTGTACTAAAGTCAGTGACTGTGACAGTTTAAAGTGCCAGACAAATGATGTATAAGGTTCTTTAGTAAGGAAAGATTAACCAAAATTTTTTTACCCAGTTAGAAGTTTTTAAATGTACACTTGATCATCTCTGCTCTAGGTAAAATTCAAACAAAAAAAACAGTGGCCCATCTGTAGCTTATAAATCTATTTAAAATTGAATATGTTGACTTGCTGAAACTTGCTCTCAAGAGCTTCCTTTGAATCTTTATATTTATTTTTATAAGGTTCAATTCATTACATCCATAAATCGACAGAATGAAGAGAACATAAATAACAAAAAGCCACCTATTCCTTCCTCTTGCTCCCTTATTAGCTAAAGTAAAATTTACATCTGTAAGACTTATCGAGTTGCTGCCAAAATGGAACTGAATTCTTAAAAGCAGGAACGTGCCTATGTGAAACATTAGAAAACCAAAATAAATGGGAAAATTCAGACTTGAAGAACTGAATCATGTGACAACAAAGTACTGATCTTAATTCAGAAAGGCTACTTGGAGAAGGTGTATGTTAAGGGGCAAAAAACCTGTGGGTTATCACATATTAACAGAATAATATCAACAGGCACCCATAAGCAAGCAAGACACAACTGAGGCAGATGTACCAGGTGAAAAAAATCTTCAGTATGGATACGCATGGGTATTCTGAAGCCTACAATGAATGGTTTAGTCTTTGACAGGAGGATGAACATATTATTTATATTATATAATCTAATTTGGCTTCTATAGGGAAAGCAACATATACGTAAGTGAATTTTCTACATGAAGTGGGCTACTTCTGATTTTAAAGCTATAAAATAGTCACAGATTGTATATTTCACTAGCTTCTTAAAGTTACCTTATCTCTAAAAACAGGTAACTTCCTGTGCTCTAGGAAATACACCAATACCAAAGGTCAATGTGGAAATATGGGCAGGTTTGCCCCTATGCTGTGTGGTCTTTAGATTTCTGTATTTGCTTTGCTTTTGTCTGCTCTAGTAATCTCCCTCCTTTTGATCTGTGGCCTGGGAAAATGTGGTTTCTTTATATTTCAAATAAGAGTAAAATAGTTTTTTGAGTGGTTCACTTAAGAGTAAAGTATGGAACTTGAACATCTATTGATTCTTCAGTGTCCTATTTAAGTTCTTTCTTAAAACAAAAATCTCTCAGATCTATTTCATGGGATTAGGGAAAGTTAAACCTTGTCTTAGTGGGTAGTAATTTCTATTTGTGCTTTTAATGAGGATTGTGTGAAAATATACATAAAATTTACTTATCTTGAAACTAGTTACAATGGCTGTGGAAGAGTTAACAGCTCATGGGGAAAAATAACTTTTAATATAAAAGTTCAAATTATTAAATTGGGACACAAATTTTTTATACTACTTGCTGAGTCCATTACTATGTTACAGGATGGTAATTCACTTAGAAAGATAACTTTTCAAAATGAAAGATTAAAGGACTCAGTAGCCAAGTTATCAGGTTAAGAACATATGTTTTAGAAAATTCTACATCAAAGATGTAAGTAAAATTAATTCATATAAGTATCTCTTTATCTATGGTTCTGCTATGGTTTGAGTGTGTCCCCCAAGAGTTCATGTGTTGGAAACTTAATTGCTAATTTAACAGTACTAAGAGACTTTAAGAGGTAATAGGGTGATGAGGGTGGAGCCCTCATGAATGGATTTATGCCGTTATTGCAGGTATAAATTCTCAAGAGAGCGGGTTGTTACAAAAGCTTGCCCACACTTGTTCGTCCTTCTATTTTTTCACCCTGTTATGTTTTGATGCAGTATGAAAACCCTTGCCAGAAGCTGCTGGCAAATAAACTCCAGAACTGTAAGCCAAACAAATTTTTCTTATAAATTACCTGGTCTTGGGTATTCTCCCATAGCAACAGAAAATGGACTAAGATTGTTTCCAAATGAGCCTGTACTACTACTAACAGTAACTACCAATATAAGAGCATCCACCAGGTCTGAAGCACTGTCTTACACGCTGTACGTGTAGCTGCTATATGCAATACTCAGTACGTCCTCACAAACTGTATTAGATTTACTTCCACAGTTGTATAGCTAATAAGTGGTAGAATCAGGACTGGTTCATAGCCATCCTGCTATACTGCCTAGTTATTATTAACACCTTTGAAGGTTGTCCATTCCTGCTTTTCTTTAGTTTTGGCTCCCATGATTAGCCATTAGCCTATACATTGGAAGAAAAGTAATATAAGGACCATATTGGACTGTAAAAAATCAGTGTCACTGTTATAGAACTATAGTTGTGGAAAAACTTTCAAAAGGTCCAGAATGACCAGGAAAACCATATCCCACTTCAGTAACTACTACCTTCCCATTTAAGAAACCAGAACTTTGAAATAAAATATTTATTTCAGTATTTCCATAATTAAAGCAAACATACATGCTTGAGTTCATTATTTAAGGTGATTTATACTATAAAATGACTTCCATGAATATTAGAGTTCCTGAATGTCATTTGAGTATCTGCCTACATGCTTGTTGGAACCTTCTGTAGCCTTTCCTTTGCAGGAATTCCAGTTTTTCTGAATTCTTCCCTTTCCTTCAGGTATTCCATTTTGCATTCTTCATGAAAGGCTGGATCATTATAGCTATGAGAAGGAAATGAAAATATTTTAAAGTAATTTTGCATGTGTTAAATATAAGCTTACTTTAATTACTAATATTCAGCCATCTGGTTCATCAGGCTCAATCTTTAGAAGCACACTTTTAGTAATGGTTACAAATTCACTGTTAACTTTATGCTACCAAACTGAAGACCAAATCATTCATTTTTATATAGCACTGTCACAGGATAGAGCAGTGAGAAGCACAGCTCCTGTCCTCGGAACCCACGGTGTAAAGGACAAGTAAAGACTGGATTAAGTGTACAAAATACTGTGACAGAGGTATGCCCCAGTGCACCATGGAAACAAGGAAGAAATGGGGATATGCTTGAGTCGTATTTTGAAAGACCAACAGAAATCCATATAGAAGGCAAGTGTGGGAAGGCACGTGGATGAGGAAAAACTAATGCATGAAAAACTGCAAGTAGATAGGTACCACTACAGCAGATTATGCACATAGGAGAAAAGGCCTGAAATGAAGATGGAATGGGCAAAAGTCAAATCATGATGTGCCCTTTATGCTATACGAAGAAAATCTATCCTGAAGAAAATGGGGCACAATTAATAGAGCACCTCACCTGTAAGATCAGTTTTGTGTCTTGGATGAATCTGACAACATGTGGCAGGGCAAAAGGGGGCAAGCAACGTTAGAGCCAAGATAGCCAATAAATGGTTAAAATAATCCAGGCAAAAAATGATGAAGGCACAGGCCAAAAGAAGAGCTGAAGGAATGAAAAGGAAGAGAGAATGTGCGGGAAATTTCAGTAATCAACAGGAAATAACCAGTTAGAGTTAGGAGATAAGACTGTAGATACTAGACTACTGTATAATTCACAAAGACACGCAGGATGAGCAAAATGAGCCAATTTCATTTTTGGACTTGAACAAAGAAACAAATGTTACTTTCTATAGTAAGTAATTGAATTCATGGGTGCAAACTAAACTTCCTCAGCTTTCAGAATGAGAAGAGAACTTGGGGAATCACCAACTTTAAGGAGTAGATTAAAAACGTTGAGAAGTACAGAGAGGTGTTGGGAAAATGGGAAAAAATATTATCAGGGAAGACAGAGGAGACTTTTAAGAAGGGATTGCCAGAGAGAGGTCAAATAAAAAAGAACAATTTGTTGGATTTGTCTACCATCAGCCCATTAGAGCCTTTAAAAAGAGCAGGTTCAGTGATGTAAGGATAGAAATCAGATTATAAATGAAGGTAAGAGGTAAGCAAAAACGATGTTTCAAAATGAGAGAGGATAAGCAGTTACATTCATTTCATGGAAATGTCAATAGTAATTAACAAAGAAGAACACCCTCTTATTTAAAGATGAACAAATACTATTTCTTAGTGTATCTGGGGACTCAAAGTCAAGTAAAATTTTCCCTAATAATTTTCCATTTACTTTCAGTTAATGTTACATCCACTGCTTATCTCTTCTAAGCAAGCAGAAACAGCCATCCTTCCTAGCCCTCTCCTCCCCTCAGATGGACTAGAATCTTTTATTTTCTTCTCGTATTTCTAGGGGGTGAGAGAGAGAAGGATATTCAAATGATTAATATTCAGATAAATAGTAACAAATACTAATCAAAAAAGAGCTAATATTGACTGAATACCTATCATGGTAAATGTGTTTACATACAGTACCTCACAATCACTCCATAAGGTATAATTATTCATTCTTACAATGAAGAGCCTGCCTAAGGTCACACGGCCAGCTAAGCTCTCACTGATGCAGAAGCTGAACCCAGGTTGCCCTCTGCAGTCTAGACTCCTGTCTACTCTGCTCTAGAGCTGCCCCGACTGGAGTGAAGGATAATATGTCAAACTAGCAATAACAATTATGATGACTGAATCTGAGATATAAAAGTTATTTAATCAATATATAAGACAGAATTTAACAATTCAGTCATACAAAAGTTTAAGGGATTCGTTTACTCAGTAAACATTTCTTGGAAGCACTCGGGAATAGAACTGAGAGAATATTAAGTCACAGAACGAAGTTTCACTCCTCTATGGTAAAGCACTGAGTACAATACCTAGACCATAAATAAGGGCTGCTGTTGATATTAACTTAAGAAAAAAAATCAACACTGATTATGTTTCATCATCTACAAATATAGCAAATGTAGAGATGAGTTTACGTTATCTCTAAAGTCTTTTCCAACTCCACCATTCTTAAAAAAGGTCTATAAGTTTATGTGTACGTATTTTATTTTTTTAAAAATGTAGGGTTCAGGTGTTCATTACTATTTTATTTAATCCCCTAAGACATGTATCATACTGACATACACACTGCACAGGCTAGAGAAATTAAAGGAAATAAAGGCTTACCAAAACTAAGATCTCTCAACATTCAATTAACAATACTTGCTAAAGTATTCTACAATATTATCTGTCAATAATGTGGGCGATAGAACTTGGGTGAATAAATCAGCATGTGAATTCAAAGAACTTCACACATTTTTACTTAGATTTAAGGAACTACAACAAAACATTAGTGCACATGATATTATAAAATTATTTTAAAAGTTAATTTGGTTAACTTCAAAAATCTAAATTTACCTTTATATCATCCATATGATTTATCTCAGCCTTCTAGGAGTTAAATTATATTAATCCAACAAATCACAAGGCTGGAGAAGGTCTCAGAGGTATTTTAATTCAGTTATCTTCACAATAGAATAAACAAATATCAGTCTGTACTATATTTTACAGATCAGACTGTTCATGAAAAAAGATTTGTTAAATAGTGAAAAATCATATATTTTTGTCTGCTGACTTCATCTTTTTAATTAGATACAATGCTGACAAAATTTGAAAAGACTCATAAATATGTTGCATTTTTAAGACTATACTGGAACTTTAGACTCAGCCAACAATATGATAAATTTGGTATGGAGAGGTACAGAATATATTACATGTAATGAGTTAAGTAATATACTCGTATCTACTACAAATACACACAGAAGCACAAACATTGAGATAACTACTTACTAAGCAGTCAGACATTCTTTCAATGCAGAGTTTTCTTTCCGGCATTTTACTACCATAAGAACTCCAGAGTTCTTGCAACATTTGGTAAAATCTGAAATACATTTGGAAGGAAAAAATTACTTGTAATTACATCTGTATCAACACACACACACACACACACACACACACACACAATTATTTTTCTTTTTAGAAGAAAGCCTGTCGTCCAGGCTGGAGTGCAGTGGCATGATGATAGCTCACTGCAGCCTTGAACATCTATTACGTAGATTGGGCTTGGCACATGGTATCAAGCTCAACAAAAGACATGTACACCAGTAAAAGGCAGAATAAGATGCGTGATATTTACTTTGTAGAAATAAATGTGATTTGAGAGGAGGGAGAGAGGACTTCTGAGATGAAGGGCAAGGAGACTTCAAAGAGACAGGATGTGGAGATAGGATTTCTAGTAGAGAAACAGTACAATCATGGGCTGCTTAACAATGAGGGTATGTTCTGAGAAATGCATCATTTGACAATTTCATCGTGGTCCAAAGATCAGAGTGTACTTAGACAAACCTAGATGGTACAGCTGAGTAGACATCTAGGCTATTTGCTATAGCCGAGGCCACAAACCTGTACCATATGTTACTGTACTGAATACTGCAGGCAATTATAACAGAAAGGTAAGTACTTGTGTATCTAAACATTTCTAAACATAGAAAAGGTACAGTAAAAATACAGCATTATCATCTTATGGAACCACCATCATATATGTAGTCTATCGTTGATCTAAACATCGTCATGCAGTGCATGACTGTATATTCCAGGAGAAATACCAAGAGTTGCCTCCTCCTTTGAAGGGGAATTGTTTGCAGACATTGGTATCTGTTGTCTAGTCTCTGCATGTCTTCTTAGTACCTGGCAACAAAAGCCGGTGGATTCCCACCTGATGGCATCAAGGCATCCCTTTGCTTTTACACAACCCTGCCATGGTTTCTTAACTTCTAATAACAGGACTCCCATTTCATTCCCAAGGAAGTTCTAGGTGCCCTAGATATTTCAAATGGCTTTCTGTCAAATTTCCACTCTGCTAATTTGCCCTTCAAATTGTATTGGCACCTTGAGTATTCTGCCTTTTCAGGACCACAAACCCAGAAAAGCCTGGTACCTATGCTACCCACAGCTGGGCCACTTACTACTCTGTCTTGTGTTTGCTTTGGGTCAGACTCAGTCCTGTCTTATCCCTTACACAGGACATATGCTTTGCTCCTCATCTCTTGAGGCTACTCTCGTGAACTACTCTGGTCCCTCCTTCTGACCACTGGCTGCTCTAGTTCCAGACTCTGCCACCCCTAATCTACTGTAAGTAAGCAATTATTTCCAAGTGAGATCTTAAACATCGTCCTTACAAAGAAGCTGTAGGCAAAAAAATAAAATAAAAATAAAAATAAATTGTGGATTGTGTTTTCTCAATGTTTTGTAACTTTTACAATACAAGATAATCAAGATTCCTCTCTTAAGCTATGTGTTATCCTTCCAGGTACTTGGGATTATACATTATTTATAATTGTCTTAAACAGATAATTTTAGGAATGTCCATGAAAATACATACTTGTGTAACAAAAATATTTTTAAACCACAAGCAACCAAAAATGAGATTAAATGCATAAAAAATTCATTACGGACCGGGCACGGTGGCTCAAGCCTGTAATTCCAGCACTTTGGGAGGCCGAGGCGGGCAGATCACCTGAGGTCAGGAGTTCGAGACCAGCCTGGCCAACATGGTGAAACCTGTCTCTACTAAAAATACACAAATTAGCTGGATGTGGTGGCAGGTGCCTGTAATCCCAGCTACTCAGGAGGCTAAGGCAGGAGAATCGCTTGAACCTAGGAGGCGGAGGTTGCGGTGAGCCAAGATCGTGCCATTGCACTTCAGCCTGGGAGACCAGAGTGAGACTCTGTCTCAAAAAAAAAAAAAAATTCATTATGGGGGCTTTGCTGGGACAAGAGTCCTACAGCATAGATACCTGTATCCACTCACAACATCATAGTGATACTTCCAAGAAAATTGGTGGAATAGGAAGAAGGAACAAGGGATGCAAGAAATGACTTTAATTCAAATAACGTGCGTGATCACACGAAATGAGTTCATACATAGTATTCCCCTTCAAGGACACACAGGATTAGTTCCCTTTGGCTTCTGCTTCACTAGTCTCAGCAGTCCCAACATTTGCTCTCTTATTCCCAACCCAGCCTGTTAGACTCTAAATGTAATCAAGTATCTTCTTTATTCCAACTACAAATGTTCTTGTTCCTCTTGATGCAGAGGAGCTGGGCACACAGGTCAAATCAAACCAAGGGAAATTCCTTTGTGCCCTTTGACTAAGGACTCCCTAACACTCAAAAGGCAAAGCGGACTTACAGCCAGCTCTCCAGTGCAGATGCTGAAGGGTAGCCACATGGCTATCTAAAAGTCAATTATCTTTCATTCTGGAATGCCTATCTATTCTTACATGTTAATTTTTCTATTTACAGCATGATGTTAAGATCTACCTTTACATAAGCAAAGACTACGATCCCCAAATAAAAAGACATGGGCAATCCTCAAACAATATGTATATAAAGTTAATCCGGAATTAGCTAAATCTAGCTAAAGGCTTAAGAGAACTGCCATGCTCAATAGTGGTAATGAACCATTGGCTGCATTCCCCTGCACCACCTTACCTTTACTGTCACCTTACTATACCTATACCAGACCAGTTCAACCAAATAATGTCTGGAAGAAAGGTAATTAGATAATGAATTTTGCCTCACGAAAACACACTAGTTGACCAAACTTCAGGCCGTTTCTGGAAAACACAGACACAATGGCTGTTAGCAAATGTTTACTTTCTGAATTTAACAAACCCAATATTTTACCTTACTTGAGAATAGGATGCTTAGGCATTGCATTAAGATTTGTTTTGTTTACTATTAATAAAAATGTCCTTGGTAGGGAATTGGTACAAAATAGCATTTATGTGTTCTGATCACAATAAAGGCATAGTCTATACACTTTCACACTTGTCCATATCTCTTCAGGAGTAAATGTGACTGACCTGAAGCCTAAAGCTGTCTGTAAGGTTTCTGTCACTTGTTTAGCAACAAGATTTTAATGAGGACCTTTCTTTCATTCTACATTAGCATATATTCATAGAATAGTGATGCTGCTAATACTGCCAACTGATTTCTAAAATGGAATTCTGAAACAAATCCAATTTAAATCACTTCCATCTTTCAATTTATGTTAAATGTTAGAGAGCTTGTATATCTGATTCTATCAATAATTTAATTACTATTAAAAACTACAAAAATCAAATTTCATTCAATTCAGTCTATCTTAAGATAATACAAAAGAATATCAATAAATAGTAGGAATGTGGAGAGATTGTTAAAAGTTATTCAAAGGTTTAAAGTAATGAGCACTCAATATATTTTTTCTTTAAGATATCAAGAACATAAAATTCTGTGTCTTTCTTTTGGAACCTCTTCATTTATCTTAAGGAAACCATGTAATATCATGTACTATTGGTAAAAATATTCTCTGAAGCCAGGCACGGTGGCTCACGCCTGTAATCCTAGCACTTTGGGGGCTAAGGTGGGTGGATCCCTTGATGCCAGGAGCTTGAGTCCAGACTGGCCAGCATGGTGAAACCCCATCTCTACTAAAAGTATAAAAATCAGCTGGGCATGGTGGCAGCGCCTGTAATCCCAGCTACTTGAGAGGCCAAGGCAGGAGAATCACTTGAACCCAGGAACAGAAGGCTGCAGTGAGCTGAGATCACACCACTGCACTCCAGTCTGGGCAATAAAGTGAGACTCTGCCTCAAAAAAATAATTTAAAAAAAAATTCTTTGGATATAATTAAATTTGGCTCAAGATTATCTAGGAAAAAAACACAAAGAGATAAAGTCTTCTCCTAACTTTAACATAATGGACAAAATAATTATTCACATTGTAATTAAGTACCAGTAGCCTATATAATTTCCAGTTTAACTATGATATGAAAAAAACTTGGGAGCTTCCATATAAAACAGTAGCAGAAGTAATTTATTTTTTAACTCATTTAATTTATGGAACTTCCAGATATACGTCAATATTTAAATAATTCCCAATAATATGGTTCCTTAATCGAGCAAAGGATAAATATGGCAACTGTGCATTGAACCAGATATAGCAGATAGTTCATCTTTTACACTTTCTCTGCACATAGTTTCAAGCAACATCATTACTTTGCAAATGCAGTTATCCAGTTAGAACTAAAGCATTCACTGAGATGACAATTTTAAAACACATCAAATTAAAAGAAATAATCCCTATTATTTCATTTCTCTGATTAGAACAACTCTGTTCGTATCTCCATTAATTTGATTTTAAAATGAATTTTTTCACAACTATCTTTAGACACAGCACTTATTCCTAACTTTTCAGTACTTTAATTTCCTTAGCCAGTCAAGTCTTCAAAAAAATGCCTATTTTCTCCCAGCATTACAAAAAGCAAAGGCATATTTGGATACCAATATAATTTAGAATTTTAACATATAAGCTATAGGCAATATTTCCATAACTGCACCCTCATCTTAATAGGTGGAAAAAAATTAGGACATCCTGTTTATTAAAGAACATAGTAGGGCAGACTTAAAAATCCTCCTAAATTCATAATACATCATATCAACTCTATAAAAAGGAGTCTGAATCACAAAACATTCCTTACATAAAACTAGGTAAGAATAAAAGCAGAGAGGTACTTTAAACTTAATGTAGGAAAGATCTTTTGAACAGTTAGTGAATTATAAGAAGTTTTAAAAACATAGGACTAAAAATGATAAAATTTGAAAGAGGGTCTAAGTGCTGACTTTTAGTAAGATTTCCCTTCAGACAAAGGTATCTGCAGTTTTAAATCTGTGATGTAAATTAAAATCTACAAGAAATTTTCTCAAGAAAAGCTATCTTTTATGTGAATACTTCTGCAGTGAACAGTCTAATGTCAGGTCCCTCTAGACGATGCCTAAGAGCTGCGCCACTCTCAGTAATCATCATCCCTTCTGGAAGCTGTGAAGTAAAAAGTGCCTG